GACAAAAATAGACACATAGACCAATGAAACAGAATAGGAAATCCAGAAATAAGCCCCAAATCATATAGTCAACTGATCATTGATAAAAGATGTAAAACAATGTAGTGAATGTATAAAAGAAAATGAGTTAAAAAATGAATGAATGAGTAAATAAATAAAAGAATCCATAACTATAGATATATAATATATATATAAGTTTATTGGGGGCTGGACTCCCACACGACTGATTGCAGTTCAAGTCCCGGACCTGGCAGCTTGCTTTCTCGCTTTCCCTTGCCACCTCTCTCTCTCTCTCACTCACTCTCATTCTGACCCTCTCTGGCCAAATTAAAATAAATAAATAAAGTTAATAAAATAATTCACTACCAAAAAAAAATGCAAAAAACACAGGCAATAGTCCTGAAAATAGACACATGGGACTACATCAAGCTAAAATGCTTCTTCACAGCAAAACTATAACTAGAGTGAAAAGACAACCCTCAGAATGAGAGACAATATTTGCAAATTATAGGGAACTCAATCAGCTCATCCATAAAAGCATGAGTAATCCAATTAAAAAATGGGAAGGCGAACTGAACAGGTAACTTTCCAAGGAAGACTTGTGAATGGCTAAGAGGTATATGAAAAAACTGTTCAGTCTCTTGTCACAAGGGAAATGCAAACTAAAATCACAATAAGAAACCATTTAACCACCGTTAGAATGGCTAGGATAAAAAATAAAGAACAGCAATGTTGGCAAGGCTGTGGTGAAAAGCAAACTCTTACACTATTAGTAGGAATGTAAATTAGTCAACCTCTGTGGAAAACAATATGGAGATTTCTCAAAACGTCATGAATAGAAAAAAAAAACTTTATGAATAGAATTATATGACCCAGTATTTACTCTGTGGAAAACAATATGAAGATTTTTCAAAACTTCATGAATAGAAAAAAATCTTCATGAATAGAATTATATGATCCAGTATTTAACCAAAAGATAGGAAAAATTTTATTTATTATTTTTATATTTTTAAAATTTGCTCTAGGGTACATGTAATCACCAGAGAGAGACAGAGAGAGGAGGGGAAGGGAAAGTGAAAAAGCAAGCTGCCAGGCCTAAGACTCGAACCGCGGTTGGCCATGTGGGAGTCCAGCACCACAAAGACACATTCAATCTATAACACTAGGATAAACCCACAACATCCCTTTAAGGCAGGAATCTAGATTCCTTTAAAAAAAAATGGAGAGACTGAGGCTTAGAATAGTTTTGGAATGCATACAAATTTACACAGCTGTGTACAGTGGAGTGTGAAAAGAGCCAGGCCTGCTGGATCCCCCAAACTTCTAGAAGCACAGATTCTCCCCTTTAAAGCATTGTGACTGGGAACATCAATTTATAGAAGGGGAACTGAGGCAAGGAAATGGCTCGTCATCACTGAGAGGCAGAACTGAGCAGAGCTGGGTCTCCACCTCCCTGTCCAGGCCTCTTCAATCTTCCCAGCACAACCTGCCCTCTCAGTGGACCACAGCAGAGTCCTGGCCCAGGCCTCTCTGCAGAACAGCACGCTGGGCTCTGAGTTTAGCTTATTTAACAGAGTTTCAATGCGTGTAATTCTTCATGGGTCCAAAGGATCTATTAAAACCCACACGGCCCACCCTCCTCCCAGGAAGGGAGTGGAGGCTTTATTGTTTCAATAAGTCCTATCTACTGAGGGGGAAACTGGCCAAAAAATCCCCCAGAAAATAACACAAATGCAAGCGGAATTGGGGACATCAATTATGTATCCCCACTCCACACGTGTTTACTCTCTTCTGGGGGTTAGGAATGTAACAGATGGTGATGTAAATCATCACCCTGAGCACAGACAAGCCTAAGAGGAGAATGAAGGGACAGGGCCCAGAGACGTCCAATTTTCCAAGAAAGGACAAGGAGCATGTGTGTTGAATTCACTGTGTCCCACATGTGCTACGTGCACCCAATCGCCATTCCGTTTTACACTTGGGGAAAGCTGAGGCTCATCCACGTAACGTGCCTCAGGCACAGATTCGAGCTCAGATCTGGCTCGCTCCAACCATTGGAGGCCACGGTCTCCGGTTTTCTGCCATTGCTATTCAGAGACTCTGGAGAGAGGAGGAGGCCAGACTGCCTCCAGCAGGACCCCTGTCCACCGTCCCAATCACCCCTCCCAGAGGGAACCACGCCCCTGTCCAGGGAGGGAAGCTATTTCTGTCCTGCTTTAAAGTCTTCCCTGACTCCCACCCCTGAGAGGTCAGAGCCCTGCCCTGTCTTCTTGCAGTGGGTACCACCTGGCTGTGACCGCCGGGACTGGCCTCTCCCTTCCTCTGGCTGCTGCCCTGATCTGGAGATAGTCGATATCCCCGAGGAACCAGGGCCCCTTCCAGCCTTTCCACATGGAGGCGTTTAGCCCAGGGAATCCGTGACGAGGTATTGGAAGGACTGGAGGACAGAGGGGAAGGCAGGTCCACTCAGGAAGAGGTTGCAGGGGGAAGGGAGAGCAACAGGGCCATGAGCCCATTCACTGTGTCCAGGACCCCAGGCTTGGCTTGTCCTGTTGGGCCCCAGGCCCCACTCTCCAATGTTGACAATACCTAAAATCCTGGCCTCCCGTGGAGATGGTGTCAGGGAGCGCCAGCCCCGAGCTGTGGGTCACGTGGGGCTATGTGGGGGTGTGCAGCCACCTGTGAGCATCGTGTGCCTGTCAGAGCACAAGGACAGGGACAAACGGCACTGTCTCTTCCTCACCATCATAAGTTTGATGGAAGTTTTAGGGGAGCCATCCAAAAATTGGCGTGGTGGTTAGGGCGCTGTAGTTTGAGTGCCGGACCTGGAGGCTTGGCCTTGCACTGGGCACATGTACGTGTGTGCCCAAAGTCCTGAGAGGAGAATGGAGGAGCAGGGATTGTGGCGTGGCATACCCCTTGGGGAGTGATTTCTCACTTTCTGTATCTATCTTTCTGGCGAGTGCTAATAGCATGTGTGCTAATAGCAAAAATCTCTCAAAAAAAAGAAGAAAAAGAAAGAAGTAGAAAAGAAAAAGAAAGAAAGAGAGAAGAAAGAAGAAAGAAAAAGGAAGAAAGAAGTGAGCATTCAAAGCAGGGAGCACCGTCTGCCAAACCAGACGGCTGTGGAGACACACGATGGGCAGAGGGTGGGACCCGAGGGGACGCAGCCATAAACGGCAAAGCCGCTTTGTTTAGCTGCTTCTTGGCGTCTCTGTGTGACATTCCTTCCCACCAGGTGTGGGGCAGGACCCCTGCTAAAGGGGGGTCTTCAGGGGAGAGGGGCAGGAGAAGGTCAGAGTGACCTTCCTGGGAGTATGGCTGCTTCAGGGAGGAAGGGCGAGGGGAAGGGGAGGTGGCCTCCTCTCGTGGCTGGTTTCCCAGATGCCAGAATGCCATGTTTTGAGGGAGTATTTCCTGTACCCCATCCCTGCTTTTCTTGTTAGGAAAATGAACTGTGGAGTCCCCCCTGGTCACAGTGGGGTGGTGCATCCAGAAGGGTGCTCAACATGGCCTCCCCCACCCTCCCCCCACTCTGCCATCCCTAGAGCCGGCTGCCCTCCCACCTGGAGAGGATGCCAGGCCCCTCTCGGGCCTGCCTCGTCCCCCACAGGTGGTTGTTGGGGAGAACCACCCTTTGGGTCTTGCTCTGTGGCCCTGGCAATGTCTGTTTGGCATTTCCAAGGCCCACTCTGCTCCATCAAGGTGCTGACTCCCTCCAGGCTCCCCAGGCCAGAGCCCTGGGTACAAACCTGAGGACCCGCCTGGTCACGTCCATTCTCCTCCAGTCTGGGGCACAGACTTTAGGTCCACCGCCTGCTTCTCACCCTATCCACTCCTCCTGGGGCCTCTTCAGCTCCCTAAACAGGCCTCTGCCCAGGCCTCGCTTCTCACCACCGACTCCTGCCCCTGGCTGCGCCCAGGCCTGGCTTCCTCAGGGAGACGCTCTGGCCTCCACCTCAGCCAGGTAGGGAGGGTCCCCCCGAGGCCTGGGCTCCTCATCTAACCCGGCCTCAGCTGGCAGTTTCCGGCAAGGTTGGCTGCATCGTTGCAGGGCACAGTACAAAATGGGAAATGTCTACAAGTCAGGACGAACCGGACCCCTCTCTTCCTCAGCCTCTCTGTCTCTCATGCTGTCACGGTCTTTATGAGGTATCTAACATCATGTTCTCCTGCACACAGGGACACACCCATGGGCCAAGTGCATATTCTCACGGACCTGATGTTCGACCTCATGACTCAGTGCGCAGACCACCTAACTCTAAGCTCCCTGGAGCCCCCGCGGGGTGGAGGACAGCAGCTGTCACTGGGTAGAGACAGGGCAAGGGTAGCCAAGAATCTGTCCTGGGAAGGACAGGGAGGCAGGGCCTCGAGAGAGAGCTGGGGCTCCAGGCCCCATCATGTGCTCCGTTGTGTATCAGCCCTTGCTTGCATGACTCAAGTTCAAAGATAAAACTAAGACGGTCACTAAGGGACTGCAGAGCAGTGCAGAAGCACGGCCACACACCCAGGGCCAGCCCTGGTTTCAGGACCACCAGCCTGCGTGGAGTCCTGTGATGGTCCACCCTCCCGCCATGGCCTGCCTCCGGGACCTGTTCTGTCCTCTCCACCCTCCCGTCCGCTTCATGCACTGCTCCCCTCCCACATGCCCTCTCTGCAGGTCCTCCCACCCCTCCCACAGGGATGCACAGTGCCCCCTATGCATCAAGGCTCAGACGCACCTCCTCTGAGAGGCCTCCCTGGATTTTACACTGGAGAACCTCATCTCCAGGCTCCTGCCATCTGGGCTGGGGATGACGGTGGCACTTCATGGAGCCCTCATGCCAGCCTTCTGTTTCTCGGGAGCTGCGTGTACCCCAGTCTGAGGGCAGGGCTCCTGCGTGTGGACTAGACATCCCCTGGAGAATTGACTGTGGTCGGGAGGCACCACCTCCTCTCGAGAGGCTCCTTCCTGAGTCGTGACCACACTTCGCTCTCTCCTTGTCCCCTTTCTCTCAAAGCTCTACGTGTCATCGGATTTGGGGAAGAAGTGGACGCTGCTGCGGGAGCGAGTGACCAAAGACCACGTGTTCTGGTGAGAGCATCCCCCGCTGGGCCTCAGGAGCCTGGGCAAGGCCAAGGGCCACCCCTCCAGGGGTCCCCACGTTCCCCTGCTCTGGTCCCAGCCCTGCACCCTCATCATCCCAGGGCACCTCCAGTGCCACCCTTCCCGCTCCACTGGGGGTTGGTACTGGAAACGGCGGAGAGTCCAGGCGTGGTGCCTCAGGCCACGTTTAACCTGGAGCTGGCTGTGTGACTTTGCATGCTCGAGACTCCCTCCCCAAGCCCCCATCCCCCTCAGTGGAAAGAGGCAGTGATGTAGCTGAGGCCCTGGGGCAGCCTGCACATAGCAGGCCTGCTGTCCCTGAGCACCTCCCCTTGACCCCAGATCCTGACTGTCCCCCGTGGGTTCTGTCCACTGGGTGTAACTTCTCAGCCCCTTCCTGCTTCAGGCCTACTCCCCTGCCCCATCCAGTGCCTGCTCCTCTCTCATAGCTCAGCTTGAGCTGCTTGACCCAGCTAGGTGCCAGGGGTGAGGTAAGTGTGGGGACATTGCCCAGGCAGACCCCCAACCCCTGCCTGCAAAGGATCCAAGGGCGAAAGGTGGTGAATGCAGGTGGGGTGGAGGCTCCCGTCCCACTCAAGGCTGGCGTGGGGACCTGCGTGCACACGTGCCGGCCGGCCGGTACCGACTCTCCTTTGCGTTCCTCACGGGAGCCTCTCAACAACGTCTTCGGCAGCGTTCTGGGCTCGTCACCAGCGAGGCAACTCTGAGGCTCGAGCAATGTTTGTTGGGTGCACAAGTGAGGTTGGTGTAGGATCAGCACTTGCCCAGCAGAACGGGCACTAGGAGCCAAGTGCAGCTGGCCCAGCACCCACACCTGGCCACACGGCTGTGACTACAGGCCATGCTTCTGGGCAGACTGCCTTGTGAGACGCACGCGGCTGCACAGTTTCCACCGTGTCGCTCTGCCTTGTGTGTGGTGTGTGTGCACACACAGACACACACAGATTCATACCCTCGCTCCCTCTTCTATTATCAGTGCAACACACCAATGCACGAGCGTCCTAGCCCGGCCACAGCCCTGCATCTCCACGGTCCTCGCTTCCACACCCAGGAAGCAGTTCCCTTCCTCTCTTCGCTCCACAGAGAGCTTCATGCTAACAGGCAAGGGACTAGCTTCCTGACGGATGCCACAGGCTGAAGGGAAGCCTTTGTTTCTCCTCCGGAATGCTGGCCGCTGGTGTACGTGCCCTCTGCTCTTGGGGAGAAGTGACAGCTGCCTCTCCATGGGCTGCCCCTGAGAGGACCGGCTTCCTTCCTCGGAAACCGGAGCACCACCATCAATCACTGGCCTTGTCATCGATGTCAGCTGTCAGGAGTGGGAGCTGCTGGGCAAGGGATGCCTGGGACCCATGGGCTCGTGAGAGGTGGGGAGCGAGTGGGGAGGAGGGGTTTCTGAGCCTCTGTGGTCTGGGGCATCAGCTGAGCTCTGCGGCACCGGGTCCTGTCCCAGGCCAGGCCGGTGCAGCACCCCAGCTATGGCTAGAGGTCACAGAGACCTCTCCAGCCAGAGAGAGGGACCTGCCCACAGATGATAAAGGAAGATTGGTGATAATTCAAACATGTTATCTTGGAAAACCCAAATTTTTCTTCCCCCAAGTTTCTCAAATTGCTCGGATAATCACTCCAGACGCTTGGCCGCTCAGAGCGGGGTCTCTCCTGGAACGTGGCGCTAGCCCCGATGGTGGTGGGAGGCTGCTTGTTGTAAGCAGTAAATAACGCTGTTTGAGCGTATCTCCAAGTATGTCCTTGAACTGACAGCGGGAATTGCCAAAGCCCCGTGTTCTGTCTGCAGCTTGGACCTGTGAATGTTTGGCGAAGCTACACAGCAAGTGAGCTCATTGGAGTGGCCTTGAGAGGGTGGGCAGGAAAGGTCCACTGGGGCCCACGCAAGGTGCTCTGGAACTCGGTGTCCCAGGCCCACGGTGGGTTCCTCCCATACTGTGCCCTTAGTCTCTCATCAGCCCTAGAGCCAGTTCTCAGCCTGCCGCATTTGGAATATCGGCTGTCCACCAGGCTGCGTGCTGAGGGTCTGGGAGCATTTCCTTATGGAGTCCCCACATTACCCCTGGCTATCTTCCTCTCATGTGACGAGCGACAGGCTCAGAGAGGCTCAGCCACGTGTCCCCGAGCAGCAGCCCTGGACCTTGGCCTATGTCTGACTGGCCGACACCATGTGCTGACCCTCTGCCTGGCAGTAGGGCTGCCCGTGCTTCACCAAGCATTGCTGCGTCTGTCCCCACTCATCCCCAATCTCACCCGGGAAAAGCCACCACCCTTCTTTCTGTGACCTCCAGTCCTGCTCCAGCTATGGGGCAAGTGGAAGGAGGAAGTGGGGTGTGGGGCCATCCCAGGACAGCCGTGGTGTGGTTCCTTTGAGGGCTCATCATAACCGTTTCCACCAGAGCTTTGCTCAGCACTAGGAGTGAAAATCAGATCTCCCCCCCCACTCTGTCCAGAGCTCTTCACTCTCCCAGGGCTGCTTGTGCAGGGTTGACCCTATGCCCGCTGTTTCTACCGCCTTCCCAGAGTCGGGCCCAGGTGCGTCCCCAAATACCACCTGTGGGGCCTCACAAACAACAGGACAGAGTAACACTGCCATTTCTTGATCGACTCTGGGCTGTATCTGAAGTGCTAGACAGTCTTGCGTGCTCTTCAAAAGCCCAGCACCACAGGTGCTGGAGCCGGGACAGGCCTCCTCCCACCGACTCCTCTGCCTGGTTCAGTCTGGTAGGGACACCGGAAAGGGGCTGTGGGACAGTGACCACAGAGAGAGTGAGGGACTAGGAGTGGTGAATTCGAAAATTTATGGAGAAGTAAGTAAGTAAGTGGATGAGTGAGTGAGTGAGTGAGAGAGTGAATGAGTGAGTAAATGAGTGAGTGAGTGAGTGAGAGTGAATGAATGGGTAAATGAGTGAGTGAGTGAATGAGTGAGTGAGTGAATGAGTGAGAGAGTGAATGAATGGGTAAATGAGTGAGAGAGTGAATGAGTGAGTGAGTGAATGAGTGAGAGAGTGAATGAATGGGTAAATGAGTGAGAGAGTGAATGAGTGAGTGAGTGA